CCCCCCCCCAGCCCATGATGCTGGCTGACAAGTCCAGCTCGCTGGCGCTGCTGAGGATTTGCTCTGCGACAGGGTGGGGTGGAAAGACAGAAGAGCAAGACGGTGGCTGAGGTCATGACTTTTCCCATGAGATGGTTCTAGGTGCCGTATCATCATTGCATCTTTATTCCCAAAGAACTTAGCACAATGCCTTGTACATAGTGAGGACTTAAGGAATTCCGTTTGGATAAATGAACCGTCTCTGAGTTCTAAGGGGACGTGCCATCTATCCGATGCAGTTGGACTGCGGTGGCAAACTTTACAGTGCTGTCTTTACAGGATGTGCTAACAGGTGGTGAGGCCTTCCGTTCACCGTCACCCACGGCAAGCTTGTTGTGGTGGACTGAGCCAGACCACCAGGTCTAACGCTTCTTGGAGGTGATTGCTGGCTGCCCTGGAGGAGAGTGGGGTCCCTGCAGACATGCTGTCCCTCCTCCAAGCATCAATTCTGGCAGTCCTTGAGGCTTGTAAGTTGTTGTCCTCTCCCATTTACTTTTGACTGATATTGTCTAATTTTAGAATTGTTTAAATCCCAAGCTTTTGGTTTATTTACTCTCCCCTCTTTCTTTTCTTGTTTCCCAGTGTGTGTGTACAGTGCCGTTCACCTAGAGCAACCGGAGCCTTCCAGTACTAAAACGCTGGCAAAGACAGCCCGCCTGGAATGTGTGGTGTCTGGAGTGACAATTTCTGCAGTGCCCGTATATTGGTATCAAGAAAGACCTGATCAAAACATACAGGTTCTGGTGTTCATTTTACCTGATGGCACTGTCAAAAAGGCATCAGACATTGCTCCAAACAAGTTTGAGGTGGACAGGGTGCCTGAAACATCTACGTCTATCCTCATCATTCACAACATAGAGAAACAAGACTCAGCCACCTACTATTGTGCCTCCAGGGACATGCACAGTGCCACATGGTTAGAGCCATCTCATTCAACAAATGTTCCTTGGTTCTTTATTCATCATTATGAATCTGGAAACCACAGTTACCACACGTGTGCTCTTAGACAAATGTCAAGATAATTGTTCCTGGGGTGACTCTGTTCATGGAGTTCTGAGTCTGTTTTCTTGAGCAGGAGCCTCACCTTTTCAGGAAACTTCTTCCTCTCCAAAAGCTTTTCTACATCACCCATGTTTATTTACCTGGTCAACCTCCCTTGTCTTTACTTTCTTCCTGCCAATCGCACCCATTTTTTGTGCAATTTATTTCTATTAGTCACTTTGGATCCCATTATTTACCTCTGTTCTCCCCATTTCTTTTGATTTAAGAATAAGCATCAGAATAAAAGGTATTAATTTTCCTAGAGGCCATAATGTAACATACACAGCGTGATCTAACCACAGGCAGAGCAGAGTGTAAGGACAAATATATCACATGAATGCCTTGGACTGGTGATGTTTGATTTTGCACTAACATTTCTAATTGAATCGACATCCAATTTGACTTTGGATTGGCATTTGAGGAATAGTTTATTTTCTGGCTTAAGATTTTATTCATCCAACAAAGTTTTTGATAGACTATTCTGAGCCAGGCATTATGTGCAGCAGCAATCACAAGGCACATATGCACTTCTGTTGAGACACTTTGTTATTGGGCAGCCAGAGGCCACTAAAATGTCAGCCCTCAATATAAATACATCTTTTTTTTTTTTTTTGAGACACAGTCTCCCTTTGTCGCCCCTAGTAGAGTGCTGTGACATCATAGCTTACAGCAACCTCAGACTCTAGGGGTCAAGCAATTTTCTTGCCTCAGTCTCCTGTGTAACTGGGACTACAGGCACCTGCCACAATGCCCAGCTATTTTTAGAGATGGGGTCTCATTCTAGCTCAGGCTGGTCCCAAACATGTGAGCTCAGGTGATTGGCCTGCCTTAGCATCCTAGAGTGCCAGGATTACAGGTGTGAGCCACCATGCCCTCTCTGAAACTCTTTCTTGAAATACGATCTTATATGTAAAACAGATAAAAGTAAGATTTCCTCTGTTAAAGAGCTGAGACATGAATGATTGTTAGTCTCAACTTCTCAAATAGTTCTTATACTTTGATCCTTCAACAGCTTGATAATTGGCTGTGTGTGTGATGTACGCAGTGGTCAAGACCCAGGGCTCTCCCATCATAGAGTCAACCCATATTGACTTGGTCTTTAGTGCTGATGAGCCCTGTGGTGAGGCCTTGAGCTTCTCTAGCTCTGTTTCCTTACCTGTGAAACAAAGGTCCCATGTCATCCCATGAGTGGTTGTGAGAGGTCCTGAGATGATGTGTACAAAGGCTTTGGCCCAGTGCTAGCCATATTGTGATAGCCCTGTGTTAGCTTATAAAAAATAACTGAACAACAACAACAAAAACAAAAAACAACAGCTGGCAAACTAGCACACATGTATAGTCACGGTTTGCTTAACAAAAAGCATATGTTCTAGGCTGTTTGGTAGTACGAACAGCATAGAACATACTCCACACATCTAGATGGAATGGCCTGCAACACAGCTAGGTGCTATGGGATGCCATGGGATACAGACCCGTACACAATTGTACTGTCCTGAATACTGTAATTGTAGCACAATAGTACGTATTTGTATATCTAAACACATCTGAACACAGAAAAAGTAGGGTACAAATACAGTGTAAAAGATAAAAAATGGTACACCGGTCTAGGGCAGCTCCATTATATGATCACTGTCTTTGACCCAAATGTTGCATGTTATGACTGTATACACAGGAACACACACGTGCACACACACACAGAGCTTTGCATATCCAGGGCTTAGTTCCACATCTGTCATAGTGTCTGACTGTTGTAGTTTATACATAGAATAAAGATGAAGAAACTTTCACAAGAGTTCATTCCAGATTAATTCAAATTAAGTTTTCTTTTGTGTGTGTGTGTGTATGAGGGTACATACAATTAGGTTGATTGTTTGTGTTTGTGAGGTAAAGACCGAGTTACCGTTGAGCCCTTCACCCAGGGAAGTGTGCCACTTACCCCTACATTGCACCCATTTGGTGGGAACTTATCAACTTCCCTACCCCCTTTAACCCTCCCCTTTTCTTGAATCTAATTGTGTCTTTCTATCACAGTTCCATGGGACCTTACACTTAAACACAGCTGGAGAGGACACTGGCCTTTTGCATGGTGTAAACAACCGTTATGGGGGAAAACAAGTCCACATTAGGGGTCATTTGCTCCTTGTGCCTTTCACCTTATGGCGAAAGTGAGCTTGACCTGGGACATTTTAGCCACACCAAAGACAAACCAGCCAGAGGCAAACCAGCTTTATCCTAAGTAAACATTTGCCAATTAAATGATTGTTTAAATTTCTGATTCATAGAAGTGAATTCATAGTAGTGGGGGCTCAAGTAGAGTCTGTTGAATTGAGATTGATATTTTGAGGTACTCACATTACCTAATTTGTCAGGGGTTTTGTATAGATGGATGCCCTAAATCAGTGATCTTCCACTGGCCTGCCATGGCCCACTGGTGTGCCGCGAGAGGATCTTAGGTGTGCTATGAAAAGTTTTGAAGATCATTAATTAAATTATTTTCAAAAGACATTCAAAGCACAGTAAGTATATATATATATTACTCCTTTTTTTTAATCAACATAATTCGTGATGCCAAAGTTTAACTATAGGGTCAAGTGTACTGTGAGATAAAAAGATTGAAAAAGATCCCCCTACGTATTCTAATGATTTTGACTCAACTTATTTTCTTCTGTATTTGGGGTAGATGAGACACAGTGACTGAATAATAGAACCAACATTAAATTATCTAATTAAGGCTGAACTAGACCAAAGGAAATTTACAAAAGCTCTATGTTCATATACCATATCATCTGTTGCCCAATTCCCCACTCATACCAGTACTTGGGGAGAAGTAAATAGGTATCAGGAGGCATCTTATAAAAGTCACAATTCTAGAAATTGCCAGACCCACCTGGAGACCACTGGAAAACTGTTTTATCTTGAGTGCTGTTCATTTTGAGTCCTGTGAATGGGTTCTGGGAGGCAGCCCGGGTTAGAGAAAGAGGTGCAGACTTTGAAGCAGGTATCTCTAGACATTGCGATCATGAGTATTTTTTCTTATGTCACTTCTATACTTTCTGAATTGTCTAACCATTATAACTTTTGAATTTTATTTTAAAATTTACTTTTAAGAAGAATTCGCAATAATATTCATAATATTAAAAGTGTCTCTGTGCATTATTAGGCCCCAAGAGACATGTACCTTTTGCTAATTAGAAAGGCCTGTCATGAGCTCGGTTTGATCTCCCCTTCTCTAATGATTTTCACTACCTTTAAAAAATGAAATCTTGGCCTTTTCCACCGGATTCTTACTGATGCAATATGATAACTTAAAGAAAATGTTAATGCTTTGGGTGTTTAAGGCAACTTAACTGGGGTTGTATGTCTTTCTTGGGTGCTAGGATTTCCAAGGCTGTGGATCCATGTCTTGGAGGGGGAAATAAACAAATTCCTTCAGTGGAATTTGAACAACCATTTAATTGCTGTAGAAGAGAATGGCTACTCCTACCTCCACCTCTCAGTTCTGGACATCAACCTCTGGCTATGTAGCAGATAACAATACTCCATCAGTGTTTCTCAACCTTCTTTATTTGACAGCACACTTGAACCTATAGTAAACTTCTGCAGCACACTTAAATTATGTTGATCAAAAAAAGAGTAAAAAAAATATCCTTACAGTGCTTTCAAATTCTTTTGAAAACAAATTAACGATCTTTAAAAATTTTTGTGGCATGCCAGTTCAAACTTCTTTTGAAAATAATTTAATTAATGATCTTTAAAAATATTTGTGGCACTCCAGTTAAAAAATCACCAGTTCTATAAATTGGCCACTAGGGGACTGAAGGCCGCTGTCAGGGACCCTGACGGTCACTCACCCTCAGGGACCCTGATGTCATTTCCCAGTCTCCTGCTGATGCTTTAGTTGGCGTCTCCTAAACAGCAACTGGAACACAAGGAAGACCATTAGTACAAATCATGGCACTCAGAATTTTAAGGCAGAGTGACATGGAGAATGGACCCAGAGGTGCAAAGGATGAAGTCAAACAGATAATCTCATATGTGAGTTACATCTGAGCCCAAATAAGTAGCACCCGTGTAAGTTGACCACCCAAGGTGTGGCAACATACGGAGGTGCCAACATAAGGAACCAGGTCTACTGTGCTGATATGTACCTGTGATGCATGGCCAGTCTACAAAAACTGGGTAAATTTAAGGAGGTGGTCAGTAGGGAGGTGGTCAGCTATGGAGGTTCTACTATATTTTATCTAGTTTGTTCCATTTCACTTTCCACAAAACCACCAAGATCCCATCTCCAACAGAACAGGATGTGTGTAACTGTAACAAACAGGAAACTTAACAAGTCTTGAGACATCATAAAAGTCAGTGTTTTTCTACTCAGTTTTTCACTAGGACCATGCAGATTATTTGTAATGCTTTTGTTCTTAGGGTAAGTGAAGGACCCTCAGGTTATTTGTTGACTTATAAATAAATCACCAGCACATAAGTAGAAAAAATAAGCAACATAAAAGTAATCTGCATTTAGATAAGCGATTATAGTGCTTTACAATGATAGGGCTTCATCAACAATGATAATAATCCAACTTTGTGTTTTTGATGTTCTCTGAGACAATAAATGAGTGTAAACAATCTCAACCCTCATTAAATGCTTGAGAATAGAGGACACCTGTCACATTCATGAAAACTAAAATCTAATAGAGGACACCTGTCACATTCATGAAAACTAAAATCTGTCCCCCCCAGTTGTTATCATTGATATTCTGTAGCTCTTTAATCCACTTTCTTGATATCTTTGTATCAACTAACAATTTTAATCATTAATCATTAGTATTCTATGGTCCTGTTTATTTTTTTATTTACTTATCAATAAA